ACGGATTTTATTCAAAAAAATAAAATGTTACGTTGAAAAGCAAAGACTCATTATTAGTTACATGGATGTATCTTCACTATATACATGTATTCCGCACTCTGACGGCATAAACGCATGTGAATATTTTCTAAATGAAGGAAATAGTGATCATAACTTACAAACACCAGTGCTCTCTAATCTTATACGGATAGTTCTTGAAAATAACTTTTTCGAATTTAATAATGAGTTTTTCATGCAAACGTGCGGTACTGCTATGGGATCATCTATGGCCAGCCAGATATGCCTCCCTGTTCATGGGGAAACTGGAAAAGGACTTTATCGAGTCACGAAATATCAAACCGACGCTGTGGCTACGTTTCCTGGATGACATTTTTCTAATCTGGGACGATACTCGCGAGGAACTCGAAAATTTCATTCGTGATCTAATGATTTTCATCCGACGATTAAGTTTACGCAAACCATTTCCAGTTCATGTGTTGATTTTCTTGATGTGCGTGTTTCCAAAAATGATTGCACTCTTTCAACGAACATATTCGTGAAAAACACTAATAATCATCAGTATCTTCATTATACCTCTTGTCACCCAAAAGCATGCAAGAATGGTATACCATACAGTCAAGGCAAGCGTTACCGCAGAATAATATCCGATGACAGTACATTGAAGGACTCTATAGTTGATTTGAAAGACTTTTTTCTGAAACGTGAATACCCGAAAGAAGTAATTGACAATGCATTTGAGAAAATTAATTCTATGAGTCAAAATGAGGCACTGCGACTCACAGAAAGCAGCCAATCTAATTTTGTCATACCATTTGTTGTTACTTATAATCCTCATCTTCCTAACATTGGTCACGTTTTAAACAAATATTGGGACTTACTAAAGTTGTCAAAAAGTGAAACTGTAAAATATGTTTATGAGACTTACAAACCTATTGTTGCGTTTACATGGTTTAAGAGACCCAAAAATATCCGTGATCATATAGTGCATTCTAGCTTTTCAAAGCAAATGTCAATTCATTCATCTTCTCCTTGTAGCAGAAGTAGATGTTCTCATTGTAATCGAATTACTTCGGATGTATCTTTTGCAAGCAGTGTCACAGGCGAAAAATATACACTGAGAAACCCTACAAACTGTTCTACAAATAATGTTATTTATTTAATCTCCTGTCAAAAATGCAATATGCAATATGTTGGCCAGACATCTCAACCGGTTTCACGTAGAATGAATAGTCATAAATTTGACATTACAAATTTCAAAGATCCAGCGTTTTCAACTCTTGTTGCAACGCATTTTAATTCAATTGATCATTCATTTAATGACTTTTCATTTTTACCGTTTGAGATTGTCAGCGACACAATGGAGCGTCTATGTAGAGAAACCTACTGGATTCATAAGCTTAAGACGTTTTCACCAGCTGGATTAAATGCAAAAATTATATACGACATTTAATTATTTCGTAAGTTCTTTTGCGTAGACATTCCATTATAAATGGTTATATACTTTTTCCAATATAATATTTCATCTGTTTTATGCATGTATACACGTTACGTAACATTCACGTTGTTTCCTATTATTGTTTTTTATATATTTTATATAGGAAATACTTGTATTTAATAATCCGTGAATGTTTATATATATATATATCGAAATCTTTATTAATTTCATTAATTTTTAAATGAAATTTAATATAACGTAACGTAACAATGTATGTTTCCCGCCATCTCGGACGTTGACGTCATGTGACGTCTCTTCCTGTTTATTCACTTCCTGTTTATTCACTGAAGAAGAACATATTTGTTCGAAATCGATTTGAATATTAAAAAAATTACTGAATGTACGCGTGTGGTTGTTCTTTTTGGATTCATATGTATTTGTTTTGTATTAAATAAACATCATGAATATGGTTTAAAATTTTATGTCATAATGGCGTCAATGTACGTTGTTGAATATGTAGAATAATAAATTCGTGTCAATTCAGTACTGAATTTATTGAACTCGTTGAATAAAATAATATTATTCAACTCGTGCAGTAAATTCAGTATTGAACTGACACTCATTTAATATCCTCTATTTCTAATAGGTGTTTTCATATTATAGCAAATCCAATTGTTACTCATCTAAAACAATAAACAAAGAAAAAACATATGAGCCGCGTCACGACAAAACCAAAATAGTGTGTTTGCGACCAGCATGGATCCAGACCAGCCTGCGCATCCGCGCAGTCTGATCAGGATCCATGCTGTTCGCTATCAGTTTCTATACTTGTAATAGAGTTTGTAAACGAACAGCATGTATCCTGATCAGACTGCGCGGATGCGCATGCTGGTTTGGATACATGCTGGTCGCAAACCCATTATGTTGGTTTTTGTCATGACGCGGCTCATATGTGCTAAAATGTAAAAAGAACTGGAATTGTTTGACACTGTTTCCAATAATTTAAGAAAAAGTGTATGTACAATTCTAACACTCCTTGTCATTTTGTCGCTATAGACAAAGAAGAAGAAAAACGGTGTTAAATTGCCAATAAACACTGTTTAGAGACTACCTGTATATGCAGCTGTTATGTTTTCCCTCTCGATTATAAAGTTTACAGACAATAAAAGCATTTTATTGATATTTTTAGTTCATATAATGCTATCTTTTCATACAATACTGAAATAATATCTCACGTACACTAATGTCACAGATTTGATTTATATCAGTTTTTATTTTATGCTTTTCAGTGGATTACAGATTTATCCGTGAAAATTATATTTGATAATTTCTCAGTGAAAATTATCAAAATATAATTTCACACTTTTCAATGACGAAACTACTTTTTTAAGATTTTCCCCATGTCTTTCCTCAATTTTATTTTTGCTAACAATTCTGACAATGTCAGGCTGTTTAAAGAAAAGCAAAGTTGAAATTGATAAATAACTTACTTCTATTCATTCAAATTCCAATCACCAAATTTCGTCTCTAAATTTTTTGTTTCATTTTTACAGTCTGAAAAATACATTCCTTCCACATGCAAAACTGCTCTTGATGACATGTGGACATATTAAAGCATCCTACGAGCAATAACCGCCGTATGATTTAAGAAAAATTGAAAAGCAATGACAGCCATCAGCTCGTAGAACAAGTAAACCACCCAGCGTTCCGAGCAAGTTCCAAGTTTTCCATTTTCATAGCTGCTTTTTTTAATGTTTTCACATCTGTCAACACTTATTTTTTGTCTGTTTCAATCCTCAAATATGTTTTCTTTCTTTTACAAAGGTGTATGACTAACAAATCCAAATGATATCCCTCTGAATCAAACACAATTATTTTCCTCCCGTGAAATACACAACTTTAAAAAATGGCTGCCGCTAACATTTAACAAAGACAGGTCTAATATAAATTCGCAGTAAGTAACAGAAATATGGATGGATGGTTGGAATTTTTCTCTTACAAGAATTTTTTGTTTTTATTATTAAAACAAGCGATCATTCATATTTCTTTAACAAAATAAATAATATCACTGTCATTTAACGTTGATTGTTGGACTTATTTTTCAGCTCAAGACTTCTTGTTTTTAATGAGAAATTCCGACTAAATGGGGCTTTCAATGGGGAAAACAGATTTTAATATTTACGTTAATATTATTGAAATTTTGTTTTGACTTGTTTTTTTTAGCATAAAATAAAAAGAAAATGTGTTTTTTGTTTGTTGTGTAAGATGTAATTTTATTTCATTTCGTGAACTTTAAAAACAGTATTCTAACTCGTGGCTACGCCACTCGTGAGAATACTGTTTTTAAAGCCCACTCGATGAAATAAATCTTCATCTTACACATAAACAAACAAATATCCTCTATATAAATATTTTGACAAAACCGCGATAATCCGTTAGCAACGTAAAGACGTCATACTAAGTATACAACTCATTCATAAACGCGCTAGAATGATGTCATTTCAAACATATATAATGATAATTCAAACACTGATGTAAACACAAAACAATCCAGTCTGAGACGTAAGTTTTTATCATTGAAAACTTGATATTAAAATAACTTGTTTTCTTATTATTTATTTTGTTTAGTAATTTTCATATCTTAGTAACAGTAGGTTGCGAAATCGAACAGCGTTATACAAAAATCGGCACCTGAAGTTATCTCCGCGTGAAAGAAAAATAACATTAGTGATCTTCCTAATTTAATCGTCTTACATGTCTTAGAATCAAAATAATATCTGAGAGGTGGTTATCGGCTATTTAAAGCACTGGCTTTGTCGTTTTGATGCGAAAAAAATATTCACTCAGGCCTTAGGCCTTCGTGGTCAATTCCTACGCATCAAAACTCCAAACCGGTGTTAAATAGCCTATAAACAGAGCTTAAACCGATATTATTTCTTTATTATACTACTTGTTACACAAATATCTAAGCTTGAATATATACGGTAGTATTTAAATCATTCAATCTATCGAATGTATTGAAGATTTTTATTGATTTATCCCGACAATGTTATTTAAACCGTTACCATTTTATCAAATGCTTCGTATGTAGGAATCCGATACTCTTTTCATAGCTCTGCCTTTCTCTATTTTTCAAATATAACTGTCAAATTATGCGGTTTTCATATTATAAGAAGGACATTTCGCACATTATTTTTAATCACTACATACCAAAAATTACACATCATTGTTTTGTGTCGCCGGTTTTCTTAAGAGGACTCGTAACATGGAATTCTCGAACCAAGGTCATTTTAAAATAATTATTATTTAAATCTTTTTTTTTACTTCTTTTTGAATTTGGAAATGAACTTTGCAACTGAGTGATCTTTATGATGACACATTGACCTTGACCAGTGACCATTTTCGTAGATAAGGGACAAGATATAGAGAATGTGACTGGGAGTTTTGCATGTTATAATTGGTATTCCAGCATGGGCATATAATGTGAAAGAAACAAAATACTAAAGAACATTATGACTGCATTTCAAATTTAGGAATAGTAAATCAAGTAAGTAATCACATTTACCGTCAATGCCATTTGTATTTTTGCACGTGTCATTGTTGTCCCCGGAACAGCAACTATATACCAAGCCTATGCTGCTGCAGTCTGAAGTATTGACCCAGTTTGGTGAGAATAGACCAATAGTCTGCAAGAGAAATGGCGGGAAAAGGACGCAGCTCACCATGCACACCATAACCACCTTATCGCCCATTTTTTGTCACCAAGGCAGTAAGTCTAAAAAGCAATTAATGTTTTATATCATAATCAATATACATACAATTACAAGGAAGTCAATATCGAGGCTTTAAAATAATACTTACACGAGAAACATCATCTTAGATAGTTGCCAGCTTTCAATTATTTGCAGGAATTTATATATCGTTATAAACGTTTCAGAATCAAGTCCCTTTGTGCAAAAGATTCAATGCGTCATTGTAGTCTCAGTAAATAGTAGAGTCAACGTATTTACCATCAACGTGTCGTTATATAGAGCCAGGGTATTTTTATAAAAGGCAAACGTTTCTTTATAAAAGGCTCATTGGATTTAAGACTAAACTTGTCTTTATTTAAAGCAAATACCGGTATGTCTTAATTTACAATAAACAAATCTGTATATAGACCAGAGGGGTCTATACAGCCAAAGTGACTTTGTATAGAGCTGATGTGTCTGAATGTAGAGTCAATGAGTCTTTTATAGAACCAAGTTGTTTTGATATAGAGCCGCAGTGTCTTTAATTAAAGTTAAATAATATTTAGAAACAACAAATGAAGTGCAAATATGCCATAACTTAAGGTAAATATTTCTGAATATAAAATCGACGTGTCTGAACATCGAGCCAAGGTGTATCAATAAAGAGCTTATGTGTCTTTACATAGGGTAAATATGTCAGAATATAGAGTCAACTCGTCTTTACAAAGTGTCAATGTGTCTCATATACAGCAAAAGGGTCTTTATATAGAGTTAATGAGATTCTATATAGAGTTAATGTGTACTTAATGTAGACTTAATGTGTCTTATATAGAACCAACATATCTTATCAGTTCACGAGGTAGTTCATTGTGTACAAACAACTTGTTTGTAAAAAGGACACAATGTGTAAATATATTATGTCAACGTATCAACGTGTCTTTATATAGAGTAAACGTGTCTTTTTATACAATCAATATATTTGTGTTTAGAGTTGACATGACATTGTCTTTCAAGAGAGTCAACACTCTATATAGTCAACAATTCTTGATATAGAGTGTCAACGCGGTTTTTCATAGAGTCAATGCTATTTTTAAGAGTCAGCGTGTTTAAAAGAATCAATGTGTATTTATTTACAACCTATGTGTTTTTTTAAAGAGTCAAACAAGGATTAATTTTAATAAATATTGAAAATATGTTGAACATTTTTACATTATTTGTAGTATCTAAACCCTAATTATCTAAAGTAAATTACTGGTGCAAATGGTCAACTCCATGGGAGATAAACATGTCCTGCAGTACATATAATATTACTGTTACATTTGTACATTTTCAAATTGCCCATGATATTAAAATGAATAATATATAATGAAGTTAAAAACACAATGTTTACCCAAAGATAAATTCGAGAAATGGACATCTTACAAACACACTGCAAGAACTTTTATACAAATATAATTTGGAATGAATGAATGAATGAATGAATGAATGAATGAATGAATGAATGATGAATGAATGAATGAATGAATGAATGAATGAATGAATGAATGAATGAATGAATGAATGAATGAATGAAAAAAAAATATTTATTTTTAAAAAATAATGCATTTCAGGAAGATGTTTATTTTTTTTAAGTGTTTAAGACATACCTATTCTAAATCCAAAATTTGAAACATAACGTTATAACAGACAAGTATTTGTTAGATCTTTTTCTTCCTTAAATTGAAGAGGAAGTTATTTAAAGTATTTTTCCACGAAGAAATCTGATCTTGATCAGTCAATCAATTCTAAAGCAGATGATCAGCTGATATGTAAAATATATCGTTAACCTATATTTACTAACAATGAAATTGCCTGACTGAAGTCCACATTTATAAATGGTAGGTAAAATAAATTATATTTACCAAATTAATTATATAGTTACAATAAAAATGATTATGGCAAATAAATGAAAAATTGAAAGAAAAAAATAAATGAAATTAAAGTTAGATAAAACTATTTATACGTATACCTATGTTTTTGTTGCTTTTTTTTTCAAAAAAGTTATTTTTACATAAATAATGATTAAATTTAATTGTTACATTTTGTATATCGTTAATTAAAAGAAAAATATATTAAAGGAAAATCGCTTAAAAAGACAAATGAAGTAAAAAAAAAGCCTAAAAACATAAAATATGGGTTTTCATATATCAATTTAAGTACTTAAAAAAAACAAAATATCTGCAAAAGTTATTAAAAATAATCTCAAAATTAATTTGAATATTGTTTGCATGTGTGTTTATGATTCCGATTTAAATAAAAAAATGAGTCATTTTTGCACAATAATAATTCTGGAAAGAAACGGGTTGATGGATTGATCTGAAAATGTAAGAGAGATTTTTTAATATTTAAATAATCTATTCGATAAAAAGTTTATCAGTGTAATATTTTCATTTCATTTCATATGTATTGATGAAATGTCTGATAAAGTTAAGTTTAATATGAGACATTTTCTCTATCAACAGAAATCAATACAATGGCATGATAACAGAACACATGCAATAATCTTTGTATATATTTAGTCAAATTGTTGACAGATATTTCTTATAACTTCCATCTTATCAAAATACTTTATGAATCACAGATATCCATTTACAAAGTTCACAATAAAATGATATATTCTGTATAAAATAATTGTGAATATTTTCTCTATTCTTTATATACGCACATTAGAATTATTGTAAGGTAAAACATAATACATAAATCTACGTATATAACCCTTTGCTTAATGCATCGTAAATTCTCTGAACAAAAGCAAACAACAAATGATCTCACAATTCTATAATCGTAAACATAAACGCACAAATTTAATCATCTTAAATATCTTATTACAGGAAAACCTGGTTCCTAGTATAACTCCTGCCCCCGGTACCCGCTGTGAGAGATATTGTTCTGGTAATTTAACTTAGTTTAACCAATCTTGTTATTGTTTTATTGAGGTAATTAGGTATCTTGTAAACATTTACTCTCTCGTTTGGAGTTCCTTGCAAAGACTCGATTGGATTAAGCGTATTTAGAAAGGAAATGATGACTATTAGAAGCAATACACCAGCGATTATTCAATGCAATTATAGCCTCATTAAATATATCATTACATGCAAGATTATAACTGTTCTCATCATGATTTGTTTATAAATAAATTCTAGTTTTTATGTTTTGTAAATCGTATGTTTTTTGTATAACTCTGACATATCTCTTCTTCGTAGCCACGTTTTATCATTGGAACGTGCTACTAGCGTAAACTTATGCTAATATTAACAATTAACTAGTGCTTCACAATAAAGTATGCTATATGTGATATTGCTACTAGCGTAAAATTACTTGGCAATTAACTTATGCTAACCAAGACGTTACCACTAACTAATGATTAACAAGACCTGTAACTATAGTTTGCTTTACATGATCTTACTAAAACCTGTTGCTGTCCGTGACCATAATACTAATTTATTCTTCACGTGACCTTGCAACAAACTTATGCTACAAATGACCTTGCTGCTTATCATGCTCACCATGACTTCGCTATTAACTAATGACAGACACGGCCTAACTATTAACTTATGGTATACATGGCCTTACTACTGACTCAGGCGACACATGACATTGCTACTAAGTCATGCGACACATGACTTGGCTACTAATTTATGCAACACATGACCTTGCTACTGACTCATGTGACACATGATCTTGCCATTTATTCACGGTTCATATGTCTTTGCTACTAATTCATGCTACACATAACTTTGTTACTACTTCATTTTAAGCATAACCTGTGTATTTACTTATGCTCAACATGAACTTGCTACACATGTCAATACAACAAACTTATGCTACACATGAAGTTCAACGAGCTTATGCTGTACATGACAATGCAATAACACTTGCTATTCATGACACTTCAACTCTTCTTTTTTAACACCTGACATGACAACTAACTTATGTTTAACATGACCTGACATCTAATGTATGGTACACGTGAATTTACTGGTGCAATTGTAACTTATACTACATATTCTTTTACAACTAACTTATAATATAATGACATGGTAGCTATCTCCTGCTACCCATAACTTTGCATCTAGTTTATGCTGCACATGACATTGCGACTAACTAATAATGTACAGCACACGGCAACTTATTTATGATTCACATGCTTAACATGACATTGCGACTAACTTATGATGCACAGCACACGGCAACTTATTTATGATTCACATACTTAACATGACATTGCAACTAACTTATAATGCACAGCACACGGGAACTTATTTATGATTCACTTGCTTAACATGACATTGCGACTAACTTATAATGTACAGCAAACGGCAACTTATTTCTGATTCACAAGCTTTAAATGACATTGCCACTAACTTATAATGCACAGCACACGGCAAATTATTTATGATTCACTAGCTTAACATGACATTGCGACTAACTTATAATGCACAGCACACGGCAACTAATTATGTTTCACAAGCTTAACATGACATTGCGACTAACTTATAATGCACAGCAAATGGCAACTTATTTATGATTCACTTGCTTAACATGACATTGCGACTAACTTATAATGCACAGCACACGGCAACTTATTTATGATTCATATGCTTAGCATCGCATTGCGACTTACTTATAATGAACAGCACACGGCAACGTATTTATGATTCACATGCTTAACATGACATTGCGACTAACTTATAATGCACAGCACACGGCAACTTATTTATGATTCATAAGCCTAACATGACATTGCGACCATTTTATAATGCGCAGCACACGGCAACTTATTTATGATTCACATGCTTAACATCGCATTGCGACGTACTTATAATGCACAGCACACGGCAACGTATTTATGATTCACATGCTTAGCATGACATTGCGACTAACTTATAATGCACAGCACACGGCAACTTATTGATGATTCACAAGCTTAACATCACATTGCGACTAACTTATAAATCACAGCACACGGCAACTTATTGATGATTCACATGCTTAACATGACATTGCGACTAACTTATAATGCACAGCACACGGCATCTTATTTATTATTCACATGCTTAACATGACATTGCGACTAACTTACAACGCACAGCACACGGCAACTTATTTATGGTCAACATGTTTAACATGACATTGCGACTAACTTATGCTGCGCATAACTAATACTACAATGGCCTTGCAACTTACATATGCAGCATACTTTCTATGTTATGCTTCACATGGCGATAACATGACAAGCTTAACATGACATTGCGACTAACTTATAATGCACAGCACACGGCAACTCATTTATGATTCACATGCTTAACATGACATTGCGACTAACTTACAACGCACAGCACACGGCAACTTATTTATGGTCAACATGTTTAACATGACATTGCGACTAACTTATGCTGCGCATAACTAATACTACAATGGCCTTGCAACTTACATATGCAACATACTTTCTATGTTATGCTTCACATGGCGATAACATGACAAGCTTAACATGACATTGCGACTAACTTATAATGCACAGCACACGGCAACTCATTTATGATTCACATGCTTAACATGACATTGCGACTAACTTATAATGCACAGCACACGGCAACTTATTTATGATACACATGCTTAACATGACATTGCGACTAACTTATAATGCACAGCACACGGCAACTTATTGATGATTCACAAGCTTAACATCACATTGCGACTAACTTATAATGCACAGCACACGGCAACTTATTGATGATTCACAAGCTTAACATGACATTGCGACTAACTTATAATGCACAGCACACGGCAACTTATTTATGATTCACATGCTTAACATGACATTGCGACTAACTTATAATGCACAGCACACGGCAACTTATTTATGATACACATGCTTAAACCCCTGTCACACTAGGGCGGCGTTTTCACGGCGTCCATTGAAACTTCAGAACGCCGAGGTGAGCGCAGTAAGATCGCAAATATCGCCGCAGCATCGCCGTAGCATCGTTGTGGCATCGCATAGAACGTCGACCGACGGCGCGCATTTTGAGCATGTTCAAAACAAACGCCGTCACTCGGTGTTCTAAAATGAGCGCAGTGGGATCGCGTACAGACGCCGAAGCAACTCCGTAGCAACTCCTACAACGCAACAGGAGCGCCGTGAAAGCGCAAAACGAACGCCGAATGAACGCGGTGGTTATCCACGGCGCTTGTACGGAGTTTGTGCGGCGTCTTTACCGCGCTAATACTGCGTGTGCACGGCGCTTTTAAAGAGCTTTACGATTTCAGGGCAGGGTGAATGCCGCGTGAACGCAGTATGAGCGCCGTAAATGCGCAGTGAAAGCACCAAGAACGTCGTAGAAGCGCGATCCGAACGAAGACAATTGTCAATTAAAACGTTGTGAAAGCTCTGCAACATCGCCATGATCGCCGTGGGGACGCCGTGAAGACTCCATGAAGTCTTTATGTCAACAGAAATATAACATTTTTTATTGCGATCTCGCGGCGCTTTGTTAAATTTTACAACGCCGTGCAAACGCAGTGAAAGCGCAGTCTGGTGTGACAGGGCCTTTAACATGACATTGCGACGAACTTATGCAGCGCATACTACAATGGCCTTGCAACTTACAAATACAACATACTTATTATGTTATGCTTCACATGGCGATGGTTTCTGTTTCTTCTTTTCTTTTTTTTTCTGTTTTTCTTCCTTTTGGTCATCTAAAAGAGAAAAACATATTGATGATCTGTTAATAA